AGAGACAGGCTATGGGTATTAACAACTTACAGTGGTTATCGAGATTCAAAGTGCTATTCACAGGGTATAAAAGAGGTATAAATACTTCAGAAAGCTCAAAGTGAAATCTGCAGAGATGGCAAACCAAGAAGGCGGCAGGCCCCAGTGCATGAGACGGAAAGCAGTCCGTCCACAGATGTAAACCAGTCCTCTGCTTAGTTACAACATCACTACCTTACAGGTACAGCTACTTGTACTGTAAGAAAATCTGTCAGTTGCTGGTTTAAATGACAAAATGACAGGTCTTCAAGAAGTTAACAACATCCCTTTAACTCAGACTGTTTAATAACAACAAGCAAAACACAGTAATTTCTCGCCTCATCCTTGCACTTGGATAATTTAGAATCAGGATGACCTTTCTGTGTTCTTCCATTTTGTATGCTCAAACTTCAGATGTTGGAAATTCAGGGCACGGGACAGACACTCATTGCGTTTCTTTCCTGACACGTTCAGCAAACTGAAAAAAAAAGTAAATGTAATGACAATACAAGCACAACCAGTTACAGATGCGTAAAAAATCAATACATGATAGCATAGTCTTTCAAAATAAGGTGGGTTTTTTCCTTAAAGGTGACTACAGAGCATGTTCAGAATCCTAAACATAAAAATTACTGTCCAAACCCAAAGAGAAGATTATATCAATTTCTCTTTAAAAGTAGAAACAACATGGAGCCCTTTACCAAAAATAGTTTATTGCACAAAACTTTTAAAGGAATTCCTATGCACATTATTTTTATAATCAACATGCTTTGTATGATCATAAACATTAATTGTACATAGTGTAACTCCTCCATCCCCTGGGTTATCCACTCAAGAACATGAAATAATTAACTTCTATCTTTACAAATACAGCCTAAGCAGACATTACTGAATGTCATGTATAAAACGTAACAATATTTCATTTATAATATCCAGAACATCTTTCCTTCCCCTAGAAATCTGTGCATCTGTATTGGAAATTAGGTCGCCCTACTGCCCAAGACTGAAGTGTTACACATTAGTAGGAGACAAGATAGATCAGATGACAGCTGATAAGCATTAGTAATTACTTTGGACTGTAATTGCTTTCACATGAAAATATTTAAAGGCTCTGGTCACAGCAAGTCACATGCAACTATTCACACTTCCCTGGCAAAGTTAATAAAACATACGTCACAAGCTTTTGCATCACCAGTAGTGAACTTGTCATCTTTAAGTTAAATCTATACTGTCAACACTATCTGTCCCCAGTACACCTTTAACGTTGTCATAGCTAACATTAAAACACATATGCCACTGCAGTTCACTCCCCTAAGGAGGAATAAGTAATCCATGAAAATATGAGCACTTGAATTTTCATTCTGTATATTACTCTACATATGGGAAATCCTCAAAGATTTCAGCTAGGATATTGCCTGAACAGTATGGGATCAGATCCTCCCATTGCATGAGCGGATAATAAGGGGCTCAGCTGATCCCAATACAGCGCACAAATATTTCCAAGAAATCTGGAAGACAATAGAATGGAGCATTATGCAATATTCAGCAACACCAGAGACTCAGTAACTAAAATTTTTTTCCATTGTAGGGTTTGCTGTTTTTCTGTTGTGGGTTTTTGTTTGTTGGGGTTTTTTTTAATGCACAATTATTCAAGAGTCTTCAAAAACCCAACAGCATCTGAAAAAGTAATGCTGCAGC